GTGTTTCATATTTGCTTAGATTTCTCAGTGTATAATCATATGTGAGGAAGGAATTATTTACAATGAGGGTGGTAAAACAGTGGCACAGAGAGGTGGTGAATGCGCCATTCATGGGGACATTCAAGGCCAGGCTGGATGTGGTTCTGGGGAGCCTGATTTAGTTGAAGGTGTCCTCAACGCAAAAAGGACATGGAACTGTTGGAACAAGTCCAGAGGAGGCCACAAGGATGATCAGGGGCTTTAGCACCTCCCATATGAAGACAGGCTGAGGAAGTTGGGGCTGTTCAGCCTGGAGAAGAGAAGGCTGCGTGGAGACCTCATAGCAGCCTTCCAGTATCTGAAGGGGGCTTACAGGGATGCTGGAGAGGAACTCTTCATTAGAGACTCTAGTGACAGGACAAGGGGTAACGGGTTAAAACTTAAACAGGGGAAGTTTAGATTGGATATAAGGAGGAAATTCTTTCCTGTGAGGGTGGTGAGGCACTGGAATGGGTTGCCCAGGGAGGCTGTGAATGCTCCATCCCTGGCAGTGTTCAAGGCCAGGTTGGACAGAGCCTTGGGTGACATGGTTTAGTGTGAGGTGTCCCTGCCCACAGCAGGGGGGTTGGAACTAGATGATCTTAAGGTCCTTTCCAACCCTAACTGTTCTATGATTCTATGATCACAACACATGGATTAACAAAATGTATTTAACAGGAAGACAGAGTGTCTGTCAACCTTCCTTGGAGTCAACAAAACAGAAACAAAATCAGCTTTGAAACTTGTTTTTATCTGAGCATTTGTCATTGTAATCAGTTGTCAGATAGATTTTTACAGGCAAACCAGTGAAGAATGTAGTGTTCCTTAAAAATATTCCATAAGAAATATTTTTACATTCATTGTTTTAATATAGTATATTGTATAATAGGCAATATATATATTTATAATAGGCACTATATATAGAATATTTTATAATAGGCAAGTCCAGAAGAGGGAATAAAACCTTCCCATAGAAATAAATATTGGAGTGTTGATGAAAAATCTGTTAATTGCGTTTAAAAAAACAAAGTGGCCTCCTGAGAAGGGATTTTAATTCCTGTAGTGCACTTCTCATGCAACCATTTCGAAAGAGGATCTGTATATTCTGTGTTGTACCTGTGAATGTATCTGGTGCAGTGAGCCCCTTTCCTCACTAGATGGCGGTATTGCCCTCAAAACAGTGACAGCCTCTCAGCTGCGCAGAAGAGGTTTCGTTTATGCAGGTTAACTGGGTGTTGCTCGGATTCTGCAGGTGGGGCAGCTTGGACAAACTTCTGTTGCATTGGTGTTAATTCTTAAGCACATCTGGATTGTTCTTTTTTGCTCTGGGTTTGCTTGGTTTTCCTATCCGCGCATAGAGCACTATTGCAGAGATTGTGCAAATGTAATTCTAAGGTGACTTGTTGTCAGAATTAGAACGGGTGCTTCAAGGTGTGATATAAGCAAAAGCAACATAGCCCCAAGTCCCTGTTTGGTTTTCAAGTCTGTAAGATGTAAGGACTTAATATACGAGCCAGTGGTGTGTGAAGAAAAACATGGGTCAAGAAACAGGATTCCAGAACTTGGTGTTTCAGAAAAGGCAAGAAGCACATGAAGAAGATCAGAAACAGGGTGAAAGGAAATAAAGGATGACTGAGACCTGGGGGTTCATAGCATGGACAAGATAGAAAGCTGTGGAAATTGATAGGAGTGAACAACTGGGGTTTAGGAACAGGGAGGGGGGGGGGAACAAAGTTTTTATCTGTAAAGAAGCATTAAAAACCTTTGTGACCCATATGAGAGCAGTGCAGTTTCCTACCTTTAGCACCAAACAGGGCCAGCCCAGCCTGTTAGAACCTGTTGGATGACTTAGGGACAAATCTGAAATAAGAACAAACATCAGCCAGGGGCTCCAGCTGAAAAGAAGGCTCATCAGCCCCAAACTAGCATGAAAGCTAAGGAAGGATGTTCAAGGACTCAGCTTGAGAAGGTTTTTGATAAGCCTGAGATTTTTCTGTGCATCAAGAAGATTTCTTGGCTCTTCTGGATGCAGCTAAACCGTCTCTCTAACAACCTGTGGAGCTATGAAGGTATTCCTGAGAAACAAATACATCAACAACAGAAAAAGTTAGTTTGACAAAAGGTTGGAAAATGTCCTCACAAAGGATACCCCATGCAACTGTGCTGCACAGTTTCTTTGCTCTTCGTATTCCCTATAGGCATGTCTTATTGTCAGGAGAAGCTGTTTAGTTTTTCATTTGCAAGGGAAAATCCTTGACCAAAGCGTATCTAAACACAAAATTCTTCTCCAGCTGTTATTGCCTTCATGTTGTTGAGGCTCATAAAGGACATTTTTGTTTCAATGTGAAAACAAAACAAACAGACTCTCCAGTGCTGTGTCTGCTCTTTGTAACAGGCATACACACACAGAGAGGCACACATATATACCCGTGATGCATAAAACGTGCAGTAAACTGAAGAGGAAAGATTACAGAGACACCTTCCTGTGTGCTCTGACTTTAAAAAGCCATCTCAGGATTCCAAGATGACACAGTATATGAAGTGACAAATTCTATTCTAGTTTCTGGAGTCACTGGGACCCTGCAGCTGGCCTTAACCCCTTAATGAAGCCCAGCAGCAAGAGAACAGGAAAGCTTGTCATGTATACCTGGCACTACCTTAACAGTCGGAGCTCCCAGTTAAGCTGGTTTTCATCTTGTCTTTCTTCCTCTGCTTTCAGTGACAACAAATTCTGTGTGATCGCAGCCTTCTGGGATCTGAGCATCATGTCTTCAAGGACAATACTGGCAAAATCAGACCCATCTTTTCTAAATTCTGAGGATCATCACTTTGTCTGGAAATGCATACATAGGACAGAAGATTACTTACCAGCTGCTTCAAGCAGAACAGATGCAGAGTTAGGTACAGCAGCAGGAATGTTTCTAGAAGATGAGGGTGAGCATGATTTGGAAAACGCTGACAAAAGGGACGCAGTTTAGGGCTGTCAGAGGAGGTGATGAAGCAGACTTGAAAAAAAACAAGAGAGGCCTTTGATTTCCTAAAGGTGAAAACCAGAAAGCAGTTGATATGCTATTCAGTGTCATCGAGCTGGATCCAACAGGAGAGGGCTCAGAAAGCCCTGAAGAGCTCTCAGGAGCTGTGTGTTGGAAAGCAAGGGGACTTTCAGGAAGAAGTCCTTGTACAGTGGGAAAGAGCCAAAAAAAAGCGTCCTGAAGAAGAGGTGCAGTTCCTGAAGAACACTGAAGGGTCTGGGCCAGCCTGCAGAATAGTCTGTGGAGAAATGGAAATAACTGAGAGTGAGCTGAAACAGAATGACCGGGAAGAACAAGCGGCCTTTTTACAATGTGAGGGAGACTGCAAGAAAGAAGCAGAAGGACAGAGGCAGTCTGAAAACTGTTCTGGAGGAAGGCCTAAGCCCTGGGGGAAGTGCAGACCAACCAGAAAGTTCACTGCGGCCACCCGCAAAGCCCATTTGGGACTCTGAGTGGTTCTCAGAGGTGTGATTTGTTGTCTGACCCGGTGGTAAACCAAGGGACAAATATACACTGGAAAGCCGAGCTCATTCTGGAGTCATCTCAAGTGCTCTTTCCTTTAAAGTAACATTTCAAAAGCAGAAATACAGAATTAGCACTGCTTTGGAATTACATGTTTTAAAGCAAATATTTGAAGCATTTCCCATACCGTGTTTTGACCCACAGGGAGATTCAGGCTGGATGTGAGGAAGGAATTCCATACAATTAGTGTGGTAAAACACTGGCACAGGTTGCCCAAAAAGGTAGCTGATGCTTCATCCCGTGGAGACATTCAAGGCCAGGTTGGATTTGGTTCTGAGCAACCTGATCTAGCTGAAGATGTCCCTGCTCATTGCAGGGAGGTTGGACTAGATGAGCTTTGAAGGTCCCTTCCAACCCAGAGTGCTCTGTGATTCAATTCTATGATTCTGTGACCTTCCAAAGCATCCCAGTTGTTAAGGTTTGATTCCATTTCTTTCTATCTTTCTATCTTTCTATCCTATCCTATCCTATCCTATCCTATCCTATCCTATCCTATCCTATTCTATTCTATATTTCTGTTCTAGTTTTTTCTATCTTTATCTGTATTTGACACTCTTAATGTCTCTTTAGCCAGGAGAATGAGGGACTCAGGGGTTAAACAAATGGTGGGAATCATTGCTGAGGGGAAAGAGCGGGCATTTAACAGGGAGTTAAAAATGGCAGAGTGAATTCGTGGCACAGAGACAAAATTAAATGGTGTATTGCTTGTGACATATGGTAGCTTGATGGGATCACATCTGAATTGCTTGAGGTCTCAAAAGGAATCCTGCTTGTCCAAGCTGCTCTCTGCAGGGGGGACATCCTGATGTCAGCAAGTCCCTTACAAGCGCTGGCTTTCAGCCACCAGGGGTCCATGTGCTGTGTCAGGGGCCCGCCACTCAAACTCCAGATTAGCTTCTTCAAAAGCCTCTTGTGTAATCAGTCGTTGAGGCCTGCAGACATTAGAGAAATAAACACCAGGGTTTGAGCCTTTGGGGTAAATAAAGCAAAATCATAGGGTAGTTGTTAAAAAATGAAAGTGTCCTCAACTTTTCTGCTGTCTTTATTTGCTTCAATTCTGAGCTTTTCCTCAAAATGGGTCTTATTTTCAAACTTTGCAACTGTGAGTGCTGGGAGCATCTGAATTTATTTTGAGGGTTATTTTTTTAATCCCCTTACCCAAGTGATTTGAGGTATACGATAAACTCCAGATACTGTAAAAGCTGGCTGGAAGCAGTTGGGGGTGCTTTTTATATGCAGCAGCCCAAAGCAAAAGCAAGGGAATATTCAGACCCACAAATCAACACAGGGTGGGGAGGAAGGAGAAGCCCCGGTGTGATTGCTGCAGGTGCTGTTTTTGTGGCAGGAGGCTCGCTCAGGTGATGCTTGTTAGTAGAGAGGGGCTGTTAGGCTGTTTTCAAGTGGAGGGAGGACTGAGAGGTGTTTTGGGTGGACTGAAGTTTCTGGAATTCTTTGCTGGAGGAGCGGATAGGAGCTGCTGAATTAATCAGGTAAAGTTCTATCAGTTTTATTCAGGGGCACTGGTGGAGGGAAGCTTATCTGAGTTGTTTTGTTCTGTATTTATGGGTGATAAGGAGCTTATTTAATGTGGTTCTTGGGTTGGTGCAGGAAGTTATTCCTATCTTTTTGTGTTTTGGTCGGAAATGGGGTCGAGGGCTTTCTAAATATATGGAGACATACAAGAGTAATACTAAGCAAGCTGGTTTCTGAATCACCCTTGTGCCTGATAGATGGCTCCTATGAATTCCAGAGTGTGGTCTGCTCTTGTGTTTGAGTGTGGAAGTTGTTAAATGTTACAGTGGTGCCTCAAAAAGAGCACTGAGGAAAACAGCATTAGGAAATAAGTGTTGTTGGTACTGCCTCTGCCGTGCCCAATGCATGTGTGTTATAGTGGCAGAGGTTAGGGCTGGGCCTTGTTCAGAGGTGGGGAGAAGATCTGGTACTTTCTGGGCAGAAGCAAAAGCCAATTTAGATGAAAGGCTGGGGTTTAAAAGAAATAACAACTCTAATGTGGCTTGGCTGTAACTTCTGTTGCCTTTGTGGTCTCACCTTTTCCAAACAGGGGTTGATCCCTTTTTACAGAGTAGCTCAGGGCTATTCACAATGAGGAAGGACCTGTTCCAGGGAGCCCACTCTGTCCGCAGGAGCTCCTGTCAGCCCAGGAGACCTGTGGCAATTGGGATAGGCAGTGGCTGGACTGCTTGTCCATGGAATGGACTTCTGGGAGAAGAGCTGCATTCCTTCAGGGAATAGATTTGTAGCATACAGTCCCTGGGGAAATCTTAATGTTAGGCCATTTATATAAGTGTGTTTTTGCCTCTTCTTCTTTCTTTGGAGGTCAGGTTTGTCTTGGCACAGGGGCTAGGTACTCATCTGTGCATGTATATGTGAGAGAAAGAGGAGGGAGAAAGGGAGTGGGGTGACAGAAGGTATCCCAAAGCTTGGGTACCACTCTCTAGATACTCTTTTGAATAAGACAACAAAAGGGTATCCTTCACAACATTTTGGAAATACTTGATTTTGGTGACAATTGCAAAGAGTGCTGGTACCTACTTTCAGAAGAGGACATCTTTGCCGTATCCTACCTCCAAGACGTCTGATGTGCTCTGTCCTCTGCATTCCTCATTACATGTGCTAGCACCTTGTAAGGGCCTCTTAGCTGAGGATGGGGAGCCTGGGAAATCCTGTATTCAGTTGGGCCTGTGCAGTCCTGGGGGAAGGAAGACAAGCAAGTTTGGTGCTCAGGGCCAGAGGTAGCTGCTGGTTTTGGCTTTCCTAGACAATCCTTTCAAGGCAATGCATCACTATTGCTAGCAGCCTGTGGTCTACAATTAGTTTAGAAGGCAAAGCCATTTGTTTCCTTTCATTTAGTAATCAATGCAGACTGATATTTACCTCATAACTTAAAAAGGACTAGAGAAAGTGGGCACCAGATCCAGATTCTCCTTGCTCTTATACATCAGGGAGGAGAAGTAGCTTCCTTGCCACTTATTCTCTATGTGGGGGTTTACATCTTGCGTACCATTAGGTGCTTGCTTGGTGGGATGAAGGAGTGCTGCAGAAGCAGGTTTGTGTGTGGCCAGGGCAAGGTCATGTATGTGCCTGTGAATGGCAGCAGAAGCCAGGTCAGGGCATGTGTTGTGCCCATTTGGAGCAGTGCTGCGGGGTGTCACTGCAGCACAGCCTGTGCTGCTGCTGTGCTTGCCCAAGACGGCTCTGAGAAAAGTGTATTGTAGGGTTGTTAAAAACGCACTGTGAGTGCCTTGAGGTTGCTTACTGTTAGTCAGGATGCTGTGTGGGACATGCCGATGGGGTTAGCCCCACCTTCAGAGAGGAAGAACTCACGAGTCCTTTTTGGGGTTGGGTAAAAATTTGGATTGCTGACATCCTGTGATGAAACTTGTGGTCTGACTGAGAAAGAGAGGGAAGAGTGTGTAATATTCCCTGCCAAATCATCCTACTTAACATAGCACTTTTGATTTTGCTTTTGGTGGTTCTGGTACTCTGCCTCTCTCAGGAGAGGAAATGAAAAGGGCTGGAGCAGTACTAAGACATCTAGTATGGAAGGAAAAGAAAAAGCAAAATAGCTGTAGGAGTAATACTGCAGTAGTAGCTGCCGCATAGAGGACAGTAATTTAGAACAATTAATTTGAGGAACAGGTTGTCCAGAGCACACTGTAAAGGCTGCTGTTGCTGTCATAGACCTGGCAATATTGATCACACTCTTGTACAGCTTGCAGTCAAGGCTTACTAAGAAAGTCTCTCATTCCGCTTCCATCAATGAGCTCTAACTCCTTCTGTTGCAAACAGCTCATCCTGTGGAAGACCCCTTGCTGATAAGGGCTGCACCTTTCCACACATGTGGATTTCCAGTGAAGGAAACAGGGATTCATTTATTCAGCCTTTCAGGGTCAACTGAAACAGCTGCAGCCAGTCCTGCTGATGGAGTAGAGGTTTTGCAAGCCTGGGGGCTGTTAAACTGAGCTGCCAGGAAGGTGATCTGGCTGGATATAACCCTTTATAGGTTATGGCTTTGCTTTGGGAGTTGTTATCACTTCTGGTCCATGCTTTGTCCAGTCTCTTGCTCTGTATGATGCAGGCAGTCAGTAATTCAGCATCTTAGACTGACAGTAATGAGTCTGTGATGGAAAAATGATGTGAACTCTGAGGGAAAGGATTATCCCCTAATCCCTCTAAGGTGGTGGAGGGGCTCCCTTAAACCAGCTGTGTGCCTTGGCAGGGCCAACTTCTCCAGAGGGTCTGCAGGATGCCTGGCCAGCATCTCTCCCATGGCACTACAGAGCCCAGGGCTCGGTGCAAATACTGCTGTGAGAACAGAGACCGCACTGCTGAACTTGTAACTGCTCTGGCTGACTCTGCTGTTTAGTAGTTGTAAAATCACAGTACCAGCTGCGATGTGTAACCTCAGATGTGGGTGGGATTTATCATGGAAACAGTTCAGTTTTGGCTGCCTTGCTGGATAATAGCTCCTATCATGAGCGAGAAAGTTGCATCAGAAACCAATAGTAACTGACCACTGGAAAATACAAACTAACGCTGTCGATATAAGTAGGACATCGCCAAGAAGTCAGACTATTGCACACTGTTGAAGTAGATCTGAATTATTGACTCTCTCTGTCAACACCCTCAGCAGTTGAAATACTGAATGTAAATAGTCTTTCCTTACTACGGAAGAAATAGCTTTTGGATTCTGTAGTATTGTTTCTTCTGATTTCCTTACCTGTGTGATGTGATGTCTTCTATCTCCTTTCTGTACCAAGGCCATGAAAACTTGGGTAGATTAAAATGTAAATGATACTGAATTTTAATTTTACTCAGCTTAGAACAAATCTGGAATACTTCTGCCTTATTGACTTGGGTGAGAATTAGTTATTGAGACAGTCTCTGCAGCCATAGACATGTGGTGTTCAGAGTTACTTACACGAGGGTGAGAGACTGGGAGTGAGAGCACACCAAATAGGCTTTTATCCCATGGAGTGTTGGATTTTACTCAGGAACTCTGCATGGCAAATGCATGTCCTTCCCTATTCCATGTGCCTTAAGTTAAGAAAGTTGTTCTAAGTGGGGAATCTGTGAAAGACTTGAGTAGAAGGAGAGGCCTTTCATGCTCTTTTGTGGGGTCCTTGGACAGCAGTTTGGTTCCACCTCATGGAAAAACTTGTTTTCCTCTTCCTCATTTCCTGGGCTTTCAGCCCCTCCCCATCCATTTGTACCAGGGAAGATGAAGGACTGTAGTGCCACATTAAAGGAGAATTGAGTAGGTCCCTTGTCTAACTTGTGGGTTCCTCTAGATAATAAAACCAGGAAAGTTTACTTAAATATAAAGGATTTTTATGCTCAGAAAAATTAATCTATTTTTAATGCAGACCATGTTATTGTTTAGCATTTTCTGTGTTAATGTAGGCAGATCATGGCATGTATTTTCCAGCTACCAAAGCAATGTGCTTCAGATTTTATTTGGTCAGCTGTTTCCCAGGCACCAATAACTGTAACGTATGATAGATTTCTCTTCATGATAAACTATTTACATAGCCCTCTTTAGCTTTAGAAGGCAGCATCTCTGTATCAAGCAAGGCACTACAACTCTGTCACAACCTAGGACCAAACCACTACCCAGTCCTTGAAAGAAGGGATGTCAGGTAGATAGGACATCATAGTCCCTAAGCTATAACTGCAGTAGGACAAAGGAATTGGTGTTCCTCCTGCAACAGAGATGGGGTTTTTAATCATTGAGTGACCACAGTGAGACAGACTTGGGATTAAACAATAAGGGAAAAAATGCCTAATAACAAGAGAAATTGATCCTGAGCAGCGTGGCCAGCATACTATCAGTAGAGGTATTAAGCAGGTTAGATGAAATGTCAGGTGTAATGATGCACTGAGTATGATATAATCTGATGGGGTGACCTAAGCGCACTCTCTTCATGGTCTCGTTACCCGGGGCCCTGTTATGGACCAGTGCTTTTACCACATCAGCTGATTTCTTCATTCTGCACAAGGTTTTGTCATTACCATCTGTTATTTGGTGGTTTAGGTGTAGCAGAAATGTCATGGGCAAGGACAATCTGTTGTATGAAATGTGTGTGCTTCATCTTGTGTGGTCCTTGTGGCAGCAAACCTTTACAGCCCTCCAGGGGGGAGAGACAAGTTGCCCTGGTATGCAGCATCCCTTGGTGAGCTAAAGGGAGGGATCACCTGGGAGGGAGGTCCACAGGGAAGTGGCAGGGGTTCCCCAGGGGTCCTGCCCTGCTCCTGGGGCCAAGAGTCTGTGCGGTTACACTGGTGCCTTTCCCCTGTGGCTGGGGGTGCAGAAACCCCAGCACCTCCTGTGCCAGCATGACCAGCTGGTGGTATGGGAAGGCTCTTGAGGCACTAGTGGCTTCCAAGGAAAACAGCAATGACCTTGCAACCCCCTCAAAGGGAATGCTGGTTGTACCACAGCAGCGCTTGAGATAGTCTTTTAGTTGGA